TTTTCTTGGTTTGGAAGGTTCCACGAATCCTGGATTCTTCGTGAAGGTTTTTTCCTGGGTTCCCTCCTGGGTCCCCTCCTGGGTTCCCTGCTGGGTCCCCTCCTGGGTTCCTTCCTGGGTCCCTTCCAATGTTCCCTCCTGGGTCCCTTCCTGGGTTCCCTCCTGGGTTCCTTCTATTGGGTTTGCTCCTGGGTCCCCTCCTGGGTTCCCTCCCGGGTCCTCCCCAGGAGCCTTCTGGGACCTCTCTGGGGCCTCTCTGTGGCCTCCTGGGGCGTCCTGGGGCCTCCTGGGGGCGCCGGAGGCCGTCCGCCCCCCACGGAGGAAGGGCGGGGGGTGCAAAACCAACGAAACCAAAGGAACAAAAACAAAGAAATCAAAGGCAGATCGCTGAAAAGCCCAAATAACCTAAGGAACAACAAGAAAAACAAAACAACCAAATAAAACAAATTCAAGGCTGCGTCCACCCCCGCACCCCCCCCAAGAGAAAGTAGTGAAATCTTTGTGTATTTGCTTTTGTTGGTTTTCCTTCGTGTTTTTGGTTGTTCGGTAATACGCCTTTGATTTCTTTGTTTTGTTTGGTCATTCCTTGTGTTTCCTTTGGTTTTCGTTGCCGTTGTAAAGAAGGGAGGACGGGGAAGGGAGGATGAAATCGGATGAGGAGGGAGGACGTGGAGGAGAAGGAGAGGGGGGGGAGAACGAGGAGGAAGACGACCCTTGACAATCGGCTCCGTCTGAAAACCACACAGGTGCGGGAATACCCGAACGCCCATATGTACATACATATATAATTATGTATATGTCTATATATATATACGTAAGTGCATACGTGTCTACATCAATAAATACATCCAGTGTGCGTATTGACATTGGGCAAATGTTCAGGCACAACTCCCCTGCGCATCATTTTTGAATGTGCTGGTGAGGACACGCGAGGCGTAACTAATTGTTGAGATGTTCTGGGCCGCGGACGCCCGCAATCGAGTTGGGTTCGGGCACGAGACGGTTCCGGGGGCCACACTGCCCAAGACACGGCAGAATCAGTCAACACCAACTCGGGAAATCGGGTCGGATCATGACGTACATCGGATCGGGCCGCATCAGCACGGAGTCGGAATCGAATGGATTGGGCCGCGCCAGGATGCACAACAACGCCATGCAAACGCTGGGCCGCATCGGGCCGCCCGGACTTCGGAATCGAATCGGATCGAGCCGGCTGAAATCGATCTCGAATCCGATCGGTGGGTGAAAATGGGCCGTGGAAGGGTCGGACTGCTCATCGAGCCCGAGTGCAGCTTCGGGTCGCCCGCGGCTGCCCGCTGAGCCGCACATCGCGTCGTGCCTCAGTGGGCGCAGCGCGCGCGCGCGGGCCCCTTCGCGCTCGTAAGCGGCACTCGGGGCAACTGCCTTGAAAGGCGCGTCCAGACTCTCTGTTTCACGCGGATCGCAAGACGAACTGAGTGCGGTCTGGCTGGGTCTCTGCAAGGTTCTAAGATCCCCCGCCCCTCCTGGTAGCGACTCGCTGCGTGTACCGCCCCCCTCTTTTGAGCCTCCTGGCCCGAGGTGCAGTGGCGGAACGTGCCGTGGGCACCTGGATGTCTCAGCGCCCCGAGGTGCAATAAACGCACCGCAGAGCGCGCGCAACGCACTTGCGCGACCGAGCGCACTCCGCCAGTCGTCTCTGGAACCCGCGCGGAACAAGAGAAAAACTTTGAGATCTCGGAACGAAGCGTTATCATGACGTCCTCCTCCTTTGACGAAGACCCGTGGCCCCCGCGCGGCCACCAAATGGGCTCGCGGGCCATTCCATCTTGAACACTCCCCACTCTAAGAGATTCACAAGCCATCCACCACACATATCCCATACATTTTTTTTTCCCCCGGGGGGCCTCTGGAACCTCAAGGGAAATCCGCCGACCCTCACGGGGCCCTTCCTTGCGGCCAAGATCACCACGTCATGCGCGAACGTGGAGCACTCGACCCGCGCGGAGCGCCGAAAACTCCAGCTCGAGACGAGAGCCGGTGAGAAACTATCGACGGAGGACCTCCCCTCGAGGGCCGCCGGTCGACTGCGCACGATCTCCAACGATCCGAGATCACTGATGCACGGCGAGGAGGCACAACCGGATAGACAACTGCGACTCCAGAAAGTGACCGCAGAGGAATGGGCAATGAAGAGCGGAAATGCGACTCCGGCGAGTAACCGCATCCGGAATGCGACTCAAGCGAGTGACCACAAATGGAATGCGACTCTGAAGAGCGACCACATACAGAAGACAACAGAAAATGCCAGCCGCGACGAGTGAAGAGCCGCAGATTGCGGGTCCAGGAGCCATCATGCTCAAACTATTCGTGTGTGAAGAAGGGCGGACCATCACCATTGTCCTGCCAGTCGCCGGCGCCCGCCGAGGCGGCCCCCCCTGGAGGAAGCGGCAGACTGCGGGCGGAAACGACCGGAGTCCCGAACTGGCGGCGGCCGAACAGAAAACCTCATGCATCAGAATGTCTCGAAAGCACGGGAGAGCCCCGGTCCCCAGACGGGGGCCCCACATTTCCCATACATTGTGCGCCGTGGGTTACTGTCTGCGGGTCCTGGGGACCGAAACGAGATCCCAAATGGTGTGTATACTTGAGTTTATCGCCATTTTGGAATGACGTTTGATATATGCACATACAGGGTGGCAGCGTGGGCTTCAAGCAGTGCGCGTGATTGCACCGTGGAGGTGGAAGCTATGCGATGTAAGCTGTGCGGTGAAAGCTATGCCGTGTAAGCCAGAAGGCTTGGGCTATGGAGGTGACAAGTGTGCGGTGTAAGCTGTGGTGAAAGCCATGTCTTGTAAGCTATGCGGTGTGAACTGGATGTGAAAACTACGGGGTGTAAGCTTCGTAAAAAGAAACTATGCTGTGTAACCTATTCGGTGCAAACGCCATGTGAAAATGCGTGGTGTGAACTATGTGGTGACACACATCCCGTGCAAACTCACGAGGCGCCCGCGAGCCGGCACGGGCGGCAAAGTGGCGCACCTCGACATACCCCCCAAGCGCGGGGCGCCCACACGGCGCCCACGAGGCGGCACGGTCGGCAGCGTGGCGAAGGCCCAACCTACCCCCCAAGCGTGGAGCGTCCACGAGCGGCCCACGAAGCGGCACGGGCGGCAACGTGGGGCACCCTCGAGTCCCCCCCCCAAGCGCTGGGCGCCCACGAGGCGCCCACGAGGCGCACGCGAGGCCTCACGGGCCCGCAGCCTTGCGAAACCCCGCCGTGCCCATCCAGTTCCATGAGCAACCTGCGTGAGAGCCCAAACATGCAAAACTGTCTGGGGACAAATCCGCCGGCCCCCTTGTGGGGCCACCAGGCTGTACGCCGGAGGTTCGCAGTTTCCTGTACCAGGTGCAGCTTCCAGTTTCCACCGTTACAGTTCTGCTTATTGCTGCTTACTGTTCCTTGTTGATGGACCGCGCGAGGGGGGGAGGCCCAAAACGAGTATTTTTACCACGCCCAAATGAATTGCGAGGGTGGGTACAAATTGACACCCCTCACGCAGATCGGCGGGGTCAGGGTCCAAAACACAAGGGATTTGCCACATTTCTGAAATTCGGCGGCACCCCTCACGCAGATCCGCAGGGACAGGGTCCACAAACACAAGGGAATTGCTACATTTCTGAAATTCGGCGGCACCCCTCACGCAGATCGGCAGGGTCAGGGTCCCAATACACAAGAGATTTGCCACTTGTCTTGAAATTCGGCGGCACCCCTCACGCAGATCCGTAGGGTCAGGGTCCCAAACCACAAGGGATTTGCCACATTTCTGAAATTCGGCGGCACCCCTCACGCAGATCCGTAGAGTCAGGGTCGAAAAACAAACACTTCCCGACACTGCTTCACGGCGAAGCCAAAGCCTCATAACTTCGCTCTTCCATGGCCCATTCTCCGAGAGAGGGAGGGGACCGGCGGCAGGGGACGAAGCCCTTACGGATCTTGACCGCCTGCGCAGACGTCCCCGCCACGTCGACGGCGCGAGCCTGCCGTACCCTACCCCAACGAACGAAGAAGCCACGAGCAGACACTGTCGGGGCGCGCGGATTTCCTGCATCGGCGCTGGAGCGCGGATCCAAAACATCCCCGCAGAGCTCCGAAAGCTTGCGGGGGGAGAGAACGAATGCTCGGAGATGGACTCCGTGGCCGCAACCGCAAAGGGGCGGCTCCGCCAGGGCCGACGCCCGCCAGTGCCCTGGGTGCTCTCCCGAGCTTGCCGCCACGAGGGTCACCTCCTCCACCACCTCCTCGCCCCTCCTCACCCCTCAGCGCCCCTGTTGCTCATTCTCCTCTTTCCGGCCCCCGATGGGATCCGCCCCGATGACCCAGCATCTGTCAACATAAGACAATCGGGATCTCGGACTCGAAATCAAATCGGATGGAGACGCCCAGAATCGATATCGCCAGGCGCTGGGAGGCAAAGATGTGGAGGCGACGCTGGTCGAGCGGGAGCCGGACTTTGGGTCTCCACGGCTTCGGCCGTGTGCTGCCATGCTTCTGGGCACGGCAACCGACCACAGCCACTACGGAGTAGATCCTTCTGGAGGCCCCATGGGCCTCGGGGAAGAACCCACCGACCTCGACATACGAGGCTGGCGCCCCTGCACCGTACCATGTTTGGACTACCTTCGGGCCCCGCCCCAACGCGGTACTGTGCATAGTTGCTCGGCTCTGAGGATCGAAAACCATGCACCCTACCACCCCTGGGTCTGGGGAAGCCAAGAGGTACCAGCACCGCACTCAGCCGCTAATTCCCAGACCTCTCCCGTTTGCATTCTGACCAGAATTGCGGGGCGAATCCAGCGGTGGCGACCAGGGCCTCCTAGAATCCTAGAAGGCCCCAAGGACGAAAACGAGGGACAGGTATAGCGGTAGGGGCGAGGACCGACGGCGCCTCGGGAGACGCCAACGACTTTCGGTGCACACGGACTCGTTTGCGGATCGACAGTACGACCCTTCCGTGGTCCTCTGTCTGCCGGCAGCGCCGCTGCACTTCCCCAGCCGCCGTCGGGGCAGCCTGCGCGGGAGCGGGAGCCCAGAAACAGGCGGTGCGCCGGCCGAGGTGCCCAAGGGCAAGGACGGGCGGGCGCCTCAAAGCGCAGCTCCGCCTACCCGTACCAGGACGGCCCTGGCCTTCGTTGCTGACACTCGTTCGACCTTGAACGATCGGCGGCTTCTCGATCGCCCGATCGTTCCACGTTGGCCGATTCTAGGCCGCTGGCGGCGTTCAGCCCTGAACGCCCGCGGCGGGGTCGCCGCCGCCGCGCTGGCACGGCGCGAACCCGCGAACCTACCGTACAAGAATGGTTTCCGAACGAGGATCGAAGGAGCTTTTGTGGCAACGGCGAGCCTCGGCCACGCACAGGTTCCCAAGCCTAGGTCCGAGGAGCGGCCCGACAGCAAGAGCCCCTCCCGAGCCCGATGTACTCCTTGTTTCAGAGTCTCGACTGTGCTCCAAGTTCCTTAAAACATACACACACAAACCCAGACACGCGCACACACACACGCACACACGCACACACGCACACACGCACACACGCACACACCGCACGCACACACCGCGCGCACACACACACACACAGACACACTGGCACGCGCCTACACACACACACACACGCACACACGCGAACATGCGCACACGCGCACGCACACACCGCACACACACGCACACACACGCACACACGCACACACGCACACACGCACACACGCACACATCGCACGCACACACCGCGCGCACACACACACAGACACACACGCACGCGCCTACACACACACACACACACACGCCCACACGCGAACATGCGCACACGCGCACGCACACACCGCACACACACACACACACACACACACACACACACACACACACGCACACACACAAACACACATACACACACACACGCACGCACGCACGCA